GTACAAAACTTCCTAAACCAGACTCAAAATTCCAGTGTGCAAAATGTTGTTGATATGTATTAGAATATTCAAACCTTGTTAAATGGTCAGTATGTCTGCATTTCAGCCACAGAAATTAAATATCATAAAATGACATGGAATACAATAGCCAACAACAGCATGATAAATATATACCCGTGCAATTATTGCCCCTTTATGAAGTGTCATTTGCAACCCACAGAATTAACTGTTACTATAATGCTTACCATTTTTTGTTGCATCCCCCTTGGTGAAATCTCAGTAAGCATAGGTATATCAATACCTTTGACAGCATCTTGTCCAGTCTTAGCTTTATCTGTATTCAGATGATAAAAGCTCCTCAGTACTGGGATGGAAAAGCTCTAAGAAAAATCAGATTGTTGCTGTAAGGGATGTTGGGGGATCGGTAGGTAGACCTCTGGACCTGAATTTCCAAACCAAAGCCCCAGTATGGTGACTGTGAGCACTGTGATGTAGGATAAGAGGTTAACTGGAACGCTATTTTCATATTTTGGGACTAGGAAGAATCAGCATTGTTCAGTACATTTCAAACCGCTATACTGTTAAAGTAAATTGTACACAGTAACTTCTTAAACCTCCCAATTTACATAAAAAATAGGCGATTTCCAGGTATGCACAGCACTGTATTCTGTGATTCACAATGTGAATGTGAATGTGTTGCGGCTTTATTACATTGTGAAGTAGCAGGCTTGTGATCTCTTTTAATCCAATAGAAATATTGCTTTTGATATTGCCGACGTTCAGATGGTAACTCTGCATGCAGATCACATTGGAACATACCTGTTGTGAAATGTCTGCTGCACAACCTGTACTTATTCTCTCGTGCATGGCACTAAATTGGTCTTTACAGTGACTAGTGAGCAGGATGGGCCGCATCACGTTGCAAATCGTGCAAACTCTCGCTCTTGTTTGCGACAACATGGCGACTTACAGTACTTTAATTAACAGTATAATGTTAATAATTTATTTTCTTACGGAGATTTAATAACTGGTCAGAGAAACTGGGACTGCAGTTCCCCTTTAAAGTAAGATCCTGACTACCAGGGCCAATGTAAAAGTGTTGCTAACCCCAATCTCCCAACGAGATTCTACATGGACTTGCACAAATTAGACTACCTAGAGCCTCTTATTCAATAGGTGAATCAGTTTTTTACTTCTCTACCTAATTTGCTGTGTAACGGGGGCTGCTGGCACAGAGTAGCTATTCTTTACCCAGTCAAGGGCTGCCCTTCAGTAACGGATGAAGTGGTACCCTTCCTATAAGTTAGGTGTTTTGAGATCCTTTGCGATGAATGCAAGCACTTCTTGTGATTATTATAATCACCCTCGTCCCCTCTTCTGTTCTCCAGTACTTGAATATTAGCCCCCAGCCAGGCTGCACATGATCATTTATTGTACAGTATGCTGAAGCTAAACAGGTGATTTCCTCAAGCATTCCTTTCTACATATGCGTAATCTATTTGTATCTTGGTGGATCTCCAGGATCACTGGAAATAATGAATTTGCTGTCCTTGCTGATTGACCTTAATCTAGCTAATCGCAGATATAAGAAAAATGTGCTGAGGGCAGAGTTGTTCCAATGACATGAAATATGATTTCCTGCACAACCTACAAAAATACAATGAATGTGCATCAAGGTTTATTTTCAGCATTTTAATTAATGATCAATTCAATACTAACATGGATTGAATACATCCACTAACTGAATAAACATTGTCTGTCTGGTTTTTGTATCAGTTGTATAATGTAGTTATTGCAGTTTTATATTTTCACTTGAGTGTACAGACTGTAATTATCCCCATCATTAACGATCAGGCTTCCTGGTCTGCTGTGGTTCACAGTGACATTGTTGATTTGGGAGTAAAAGAAACAGGCGCTAGCCTCGTAAATTGGCTACACGGTCCTGGATATTTATGTTTCAATGAGGGGAATCGGAGCCCTAACCAGAAATATCCGGAAAGGTAATGCAATTTAATGTAATGTTATCTCTAGCTTATTGGATATTATTTTGAAGTCATTTAGGGTCCTCTTTGTACAAATCAAGCTCTGTGGAACAAAGCTTTTTTTTTTCAAATGAAAGTCAAAATACACAAGGGTATTTCTGCCTTGAATTCTCTTTCTCAGAGAGTCATCCACTCCTTCTCTTCATGAAAAGAATCAACAGAAAAAAATCAATGCCAAAAATTGCTCTAAATTATTTTGAGTGTATCATTTTAAGTGTTTTTACTCTTGTCAGCTTTTAAAATTGTTTTTGCATGCCAGTCTTCCATTTGTGTTTTCTTAACAATTTATTTCCAGTGAGCACTTTGAAGTAGAGATTATTTAAATGTGGGCAGGTTGTATATATACATACGCATAATCTCATAATATTTACATTACCTTAAGACACACTGTTATTACGCTGATGAAACTGTCAATATGGCTGTGGAAGTCTGAGCCTGCCGTTACTATAAACCTTCCAGGCGTAAACAGTTGGCTATCATGATAATCTGTTTGTTTTTCCTTCTTCTTCATCTTTTTTTTCTCTGTAAATGATAAAAAGTGGGCCATTTCAATGATAAGTTCCAGATCTCCTCCTGTGTTGTATTAAGAGGCACAACTAGCGCGAGCAGTACTGACTACTTTTTCATGCTGATTACTTGGTTTATAAAATACTTTTTCTCATTCCAAATGAGAATAAAAGTTCCACTTGCAAATTTAGAGTTCAGTAAATAAAAGGAAGTTCACATGAGCAACCTTTTTTAGTTATAATTGATATCCCATAATTTATTTTTTTATGTTTTTTGGGCTGGTCGGCCTTTAAATAGGAGACTTTGAGGAAACCCAGGATGTTGCTGTAAGTCCTGTAGTTGGACCAGTATGTGGCACTCTTCTTTGGAAATCTGTAACTCTGGATCAGAACTCATTTTCCTAACTAGTTCCTAGCTGTTTGGGGTTTAAAGATCCCTGTTTGTAAGAATAGGGGTCTCAGCTCAAGTGTCCTGGCTAAATTGCAATCTGCAAATCTAGTCTCTCTGGAATTTTCTGTATAATTCAACTGGAGAAGCAGTTCGCATTTCTCCATGTGATCTTTTGTGTATAGGACCAGCTGGCACATAATGGCTACCGCATGTCACTCAGGTGAGTGCTACACTCTATTGGTGTAAGATGAGTATCTCTCTGAGATAAAAAAGCATTATATAAAGAGTAGGAAAATATCATTATTTTAGAGTGGGGGGCACAAGATAAACTCCTTCTATCTTTAGTGCCTCACAGCCTTAGATGACCTGTAAGTCTGTAAATACTGACCCCTCTGTCCATAAACATTTAGCTACACTTGTTTGAAAAGAAAGTTCTTACACAGCTGCAACACTTTACCAGACTGACATCACTGGACTGTCCCTTACAGAGAGACAGTGGAGGGAGCTGTCTTGTTAAAGGGGAAGGTAAGGCTGTTGTGATGTATGAGAAGACGATGCCATGAAAAGCACTACATGGGTCAGGTCACCCTGTGATGAATGATCTTATAAATGAATCACATGCCCAATCTCTTTTGATTTGTTGGATGTGAAACTGCGTCTTTTTAAAGGGTGTTTTTTAAAAGCTTTCTAATGAGGCCACTAAGGACACCTCTCCAATTCTTGTCTGTAATTTTGACAAATTGATCCCTACTTCATAAAGGATACATTGATTAAAGGTGTCTATGGCTCTCAGAAGCTATCATTCAGAATACCACTTCCACAACACTACAGCAGCTGTTTCCGAGCTTCTGTTTGTCTGTAATGCTAGTGGGTCAACTTAATTGTCTCTCATTGACAAAAAAGCCAGAAAGTAATAATGCTTTTGTTTGATGAGAATATACTGTATAATGAAAATAAACAACTTTGTTACCTTTGGAAGAAGGATTTTTGTACTTCATTTATCAAGTTAAAATACTCACAGTCTCTTTACTTATCAGCTGCTTGAGTTAAAACATTGGAGGAACAAGGTGCCTGATGTCAACTTCTGTGTAGTTACTTGAAGCAATATTTAGTGTTTTTAAAGAAAGAAAGTAAACTCTACATTTCACTCTTATTTCATGCTCATTTGTTTATTTCAGGTTCTTTATAAAGAATGTAAAATATGTTTATGTGTAGAGGCATTGCTCTTCCAGAATTACAGTAATTAGTTTTACCTGATATAAACCATTTTTTTCCTGATTTACAATAATCGCATGTAGGAAAAAGCAGTCCTGCTATGAATTTCCCTCACTGCCTTGGTTCACAGTTGCTTTCTTACCTTTGCCCTTGATGTTAAACTGAACTGATTTCTGAAATATCTTCCTTCTTAGGTGTGATTTAAGATTTCTAGATTGAATTCTGAATATGAAGAATACATGTTTTAAGTAGCGGTTTTGTCTCTGGCCAGCTCTTCTTTGCATGTTCCAGTCTTCCATTATCTCCAGAGGAAGAGGAACTATAATAAAATCTGTGTTGATAGAAAGTGTGTCCAAAACATTTATTTTCCTTTGTGGTTTTTGGCATTTTTAGTTTTTATGTCAGCCTTTTCTGAGTAAGAGCTGAATTGTACACTGGTGTTTGAAATACTCATGTATGGGAACAAGCATCTTGATTGTACACAATTCTTTAAAACCTTGTTTCACTAATAGGGTTTGGTTTGTACACATAGAAGAAATCTGTTTTCTTGTCGCAAATTTGAGATGAATGCATAAAAAAAAGAAGCTTACATGGGATGCGTGTAGTAGAAAAAACAACATGTATGAACCAAATTGACAGAGCCTTTAGGTTTGCACTAGACTAACATATTACTTCTGGTTTACAGGTGTAGGATTCTTCAAGAAACTGCATTTGATGCTGGCATTAGTTGCTGTATTTTCTTGCATTCATTGTCCATGCATGGTATTGGGAACACATGTTATTTTCCGAAGCAGGATCTCACTTGTTGACTTCACTTGCATCTCATCCTGCTTGTCCCTTTTCCAGGTACAGATGAAGATGAAATGATGAAATCAAAGAAGACCTTCCGCAGCCAGGCTGTGGTGAACCAGAATCCTGAGACAGAGCTCATGCTGGAGGGAGATGATGATGCTGTGAGCCTTTTGCAGGAGAAGGAGATCGACAACCTTGCAGGTAACTCCTGGTCAACATAACTGTTGCTTTTCGTGTTCCTGCTTGTCACCTGTGACATAGAAAGTCGTTTATACTATATATAGCCCCAGATGTGGCCATCTTTGAAATCTTATATTTAAGTTGTGGTGTGACTACTATAAAAGGGAAATTCATGGATGCTCAAGAGCTTGATTAGCTTCCCTAATCTGAGAAACTGTATGTATCTGTACAGTATATATACTGTCTGTATATGCCCTCCAAACTAGTATCTTGATCTACAACCACTTTTTGAAAAGATTTGAAGTGCACTCCTATCTTAAATTAGCTTTTAGGATCTCTCTACAGGAGCAGGAGTCATTCCATGCCATGTACACATCAACTCGGGCTTCTTCTGTAATGTGTGGACAGAATACTTAAAAATAAGAAGTAAAAATCACCGTAATGCAATATATCTTCTGTTCTTTTTGCTTATGCAGTAATGCAGGACTACAGCTCTTCAAGCCCTGTGTCTGTTGTAAAATATAACCCTGGTGTGTTCCACACAGTTTTTAAGAGACACCTCTTTACAATGCAAGAAGGAATAAAGAAACCGAGACAAGGGATTTAAACTGTGACATTGCCCAGGCCTGTTCATCCATATGCCTCTCAGAATGTACGTTGAGATACATTATCTAAATTGGGGCAGTGTGTTGAGCAGAACTCCTTGTTTATCTCCTTAAAGTATTACTGTCTCACAGCTTTTTTGAGATTAGCACAATTTAGCAGTCTGCATGTTTTTTTCTTGTGCACAAAGCCTTCTACAAGAAACAGACCAAACTGTTACCAAACTAGTAATACATTGTCCGTATTAAGATATTTTTTCTGGAAAATGCACACAATATACTAAAACATGTATTTCAAATTGTTGAACTCATCAGATTGATTGCTATTTATTTTAATATGCAGTATACACACTAATTGTCCACTCCAGTTCATATTTGGAAAAAGCACTATTAGCCATCAGGGTTTCGATAAATAAATTTGTAAAACAAATAAAAATTGCACTTATTATTCCCACTTAAATGCATTAAATGCAAAAATTGCAAAGTATCACAGAAAAAATCAGTTTCTAGTCTGTTGCCTTGTTCTAACATTTCTGGGATTATTAGTTCATATCTTGTTGAATGTTTTGACATTGATATTATAATTTAAAATTAAAGCACTTAAAACAACATATCACTTTCGTTCGATTGAAACAAAATGGCAAATTATGGCAGAAGCCAACAGTTTCTGAGAAGTATTTTGTATACAATATATTACATAAATGAGGGTGGTGTTGCATTGTGGGTAAGTCTCTGCGATTCTAACTGGTAGATTGTGGATTAAAATCCAGCTGTAAAAATGAGGACCAGCTGGTTTGGCAGTCACTTGACTTGTCGTCAACGAAAGGACGTGGAAACTAGGATAAACTCTGTCCTGACAAGACACTGTGGAAAATAGTGCATACACGTATACAGATAGCCTTCCTAATTAGTAGTAACAGCTTGAATAGAAACATATTACATTTAAAAGATGGGGAAAGTTTTTGTGCAATTGTACACCCCTTAATCGTTGCGATCACTTTGAAAATATTTCAACAGGTTTGGAATGTATGTATTTTGGAATACTATGGGCACATTACATTGGTAATTCTTTCACCCTTAAATTCCCAGCTCAAGATTAGAGCTTCTTGTATTTTTAGTACCCAATATGGATTATTTTCTAAGAATTTCTCCTTGTTGTAAATTCATGTAGTGATCAACCAAAATGTGCATTATTAGGGGTCTTCATAATAGTCTGTTAGATTACAAACAACCAATTGTAAAATCTTCAGGTATGTTGTTTACAGTTATCTTTTATAATTGGCATACAGTAAATACTTGTTAATACTTGTGTGTATCTATTTTTATTTCATTTTTAGCACGTTTCCGTCCTCGAGTTCTTACTTTCAGAGGCAAGTAATTTTATTTTGTGAATGTACTAACATTTAAGGGACAAAATAAATGAATTTTGAAACTTTAACACCATTTGAGAAAAATCAAATCCAAGTGTAATCAAGTAACTCATTTAGAATGAAAGTTTTGTGCTTCTATATGATAATTTAACAACTGATTGCTGTCCTTGTTTTGTCTTTTGAGAAATCTTATCTCCTTGATTTGCTATTTGTGTAATAGAATTCTTATTTTCAGTTAATCTTGACATATGAAAACATTTGAATGCAACCTTTATCAATGTTTATTTGATTACAAAATTGGACCAGAGGCTGATTAAATTACAGAACCACCTTAACGGTACTGATTTCTCTAGTTCAAAATTTGTGCAGTTCAGAATCTAATGTAAATGCATAGTGGTAATTTTTCAAGAAAGAAAACATTGAACATTGAATTGAAAAAAAAAACAACTTGGCGTTGAATATAAAAGGTTTAATGTTTACTCTTCTCTCTTTAAATTTACTTTTGATTCAGTTCCAGGAAAGTTCTGAAGTCAGGAAATAGGGAATCAGATATTGTACCTGTGGTATAAATTCTGATTTTAGTGTTTTTTGTCTAGTAGAAATTAATCATTTTGAGGTTTATTTAAAAATGAAACCATCTAGCTCCAAAGTTAAAATTGAGTGTCTGGCCACTTCTTGTAGCCAGGTGTGCTACTGTAGTTTTAGAGCTGGAGTAAAAGCAAAACAGTTATGACATCTGGGAGGTGGTATTTTTATAGCAGAGAAAAATGTTTTTGAAAGAAGGAAAAGAAGAAGAGGTTTAGAATACCTTCAAATTAATACATATGAAGGTAGGTCTGTCTTCTCAGAAGTTAGTGACTTATGTTTAGGTTGTGTTACAAATTTCCAGTTGTAGTGAATATTGTGCAAAGATTCTATTTTCACAGCAGACAGTGGTACAGTATTTATAAATGTAACAGCAGTTTTTTTTTACTGCCATGATAAGTTATAAAAATAATTAAAATTAATTCACCAGTTAACCTTAATATTTTACTCGTGTTGTGGATATGGTGTCCAGGGACTTGTTCTGTAAGACTCTGGTCTGTAGGCCTCAGTATTTGAGTACTGCTTGGCCCATGGCACTGTTTTTAAGAGTAGAGGTGTTAACCCTGCTGTTCCACTCTGCATTTTCACAATCTTACTGTTGTGGTTCCCTGAGCTGAATATAGTGGGTCTCTTCCTTCTGTGTATATCAAGCATTTTGGGATCCTTTGTTGTTGAATAACACTATACAAATGTAAAGATTTTTTTACAAGAAGACTGTAATGTATTCTGGCAATATTAATTAATTTCTGGAACCTTTACTGGTTTCATTACATAACTCGTTTGTAACATTTTTACTCGTAGATTTCCTCTGTATTCCTCAGAAGTTGGTGCATTTTGTTTGTTGTAAAGGTACCCAGGATAGCATAATTTCTATGGTATCTTAAGTACTTTAGGGTGCACATTTTAGTGCTTCAACAATGCTTGGAGTTTATTGCAGAAAGTAATATTAGAAATCAATATTAGAAATATTAGAAATTATTGTTCATATCAATTATTGTCAAATATCAAAGAGGAAAATATTTTTCCTTTTCAATTATGTATGTAGGTTGTAACCCATCCAAAATGGTACAATGCTAAGTTGATGTGATATAGCTAGAGAAATAGCAATTTCCACACCACAGGCACATCTTAATTTACATGCAGGATTCATTAGATGTTGCATCGATGATATAAGCACAGGTTTATCACAGAACATTGAGGAGTACACAGAGGGCCTGGAAGAGGCTGTTCCTGAACATGGAAATTGGTCCCTGGAGACCAAGATGACATCCCCTAATCCAAACTCTGGTTGGTTGTCAAAGGCACACTGGCTCGGTATTGACATGGCACTGGAGGGCCTGAGAGAGACCCCTAGGGCAGAGCAGATGCAGGGAACTCTCACAATGGCACACTTAACTTTTTGCTCTCCAAGCCAAACAGTTGGGAGATTCATGCGTTCTTCAATGTGTCTGTTAACATGGCTGTTCCCACTTGTCTTTCATGGTGTTACAGCAGTTTAAACCATGACTATCCCCTGGGCTAACTCCATTCTGCCTCGTTTCCTGTTTAAGAGAGGCTGGGGTTCAAAATACTCTTTATTATTTGTGGAGCTATGATTAGATCGAGTAGATTATGCTCTAAGATCATCCCAGAATGTGGCAAAATGAGGTAGAAATCACACGGTACATTTCTAATGATAGTTTTTATGTCAGTTGTATATAAATTACAATTTGCACCTTGAGCAAGTCTCTATGATCTTTGCTTTTTGTATGCATGTTGGCACAGAGAATACTGTTGGTTCACATTCGACTGCTCAGTGATTAAACTTTTTTTTCAATGGCATCTAGAAAGAAATTAACAATCCATCGTTTCAATTCTTTAATTAATATTATGTATTAATAACATTTTTTTCTACTAATGAGGAAAAAAATATCATCATATCCCAGGCTTTATTTCAATTCTGAACAACTACAGAAAACTGTGTTTTAAATATCTGGCTTATAGTAAAAGTATGGATTTTAGCTTGATAGCTTGGCAGACTATCTGTGCATAAAGAATCACTTTGGCATTTAAATTAATTTAGACAAAGCATTCAATCTCCATATCCTGTTAAAGGTAAGAACAAGAAGAACAACAAAAAGTTCTGAATATATAAAGCACTATTGCCTAACTGGACTGCCAAAAGAAGTGAAAGTTCAGAATTTGCTAGTATTAAAGTGGAACTGCAAAACTGTTTTTGTATTTCGGAGCCGAGGCATTGATGAATGCATTTAAAACCATAATGAAAGTATTTTTTGTTGCATAACCTCTGGTGAAATCTTAGTTACCACAGGTCTATCAATACCTTTGCATTTTGACCACCAGTAAATTCAAGTGGGTAACTGCGTCAGCATGCGTAGGCAGCAAAGGAACAAGTAAAGGTTTATTCCATGCTGCAAAGAGAAGAAATGAAACACAACGTTTTGGGTGAGGAACCTGAAGAAGGAAGCTTGTTAATATATCTCTTTTAATCCAGTAGAAATATTGCTTTTGACTTCAAGACAGTTTTGTCAACAAATAATACTTACCTGTTAACTCTGCACGCATTGGAACATTTGTGCTGTGAAATGTCTCCTGTACAGCCTGTACTTATTTGCCCGTGCATTGCATTACATCAGTCATTATAGTGACTAGTGAGCAGGAAGGGCTAGATGACAACATAGATATAACAGTAGGTAGTCTGATACAGCTATGTCAAGCAAGCTGAAGGCCAGTGAAACCTGGGGGGACAAAGATGGGAAGCAAAGGTTTATAAAGTAAGATTGCTGCACTAAACGTGTTTCTAGTCCTAGATACTGCTATAATAAACTACATACAGTATATATTTCTGTAGATCTTAGTTTCATGTGGATAAATACTGTATGATTTCCTTTCTTTCTGTGAAGGAAGGTTTAAAGAATCACATTTATACCTTGGCTGGTATAAGATTTTTTTTCTTAAATTGAACTCAAAAGTGAAAATTTCTGTGACAAAAGCTCTTCAGGCAGCACTGAAAGCCTACCTTTCAAAATGCATTGATATGCTCTCAATTCATTTTCTGTTAGTAAGAAATGTCCATGGCAATGTCCAGACATTTATGTTCTATGGCCCTTCCTAGGGTGAGCTGAATATAATCAATTGTTTTTATCACTTTAATAATAATGGAAGGCAGTGGACTGAACTGAATTCAGGGTCTTGTCACCTTTGCTTATCATATTAAGAGTATTGTATGTAGTTTTAGCATGTCAAGCTGTTCTTCATGCCAAATCATGGAGATTTTGCTGGATTCTGTTCCAGTCTTCTCTGAAACCATTGGCCATTTCTGGAGTAATTCCAGGAAGGTCAACTCCCTGGACTGAGACATGTTCAGTGGATGGTTATTATAATTTAAAAACATGACGGCCAGTCTGTAACGGCGAGTCCATTGTTTGAGGTAGCCATTGACCATCTTTCATAGCTGAAGGCCATTCTTATGTGGTTCTTTAATTAAATTTCCACCACCAGCTGATGGACAGGAGTTAAACCAGGGCTTCGCTCCTCACATCTAGTCCCTGTGGACAACAGTCCAGCAGGTTTTGTTAATCTCCTTAAATGATCAGCTCCTTCTCTGTCTCTGGAAGAGAGTTAAATTTGTTCAATTAAGGTGTTTTTCAAGCAACTCTCCTGCAGGGAGACATGCAGCATAATGTTGTGAAGGCAGTCTTTTGAAAATTTGGAAACACCAAGCTTTTAAGAACACCTACAGTATGCCTCCTGATGATTGATTCACAGCATGTTTTTGTTAAATTAAGTATAAAGATGTACTCCTTGATTATTGTTAAATTCTACACCTGCTTATAGAATCCTGTACTCTCTTGAATCAGAGAGATAATAGATGCTTCTGTGCTTTTTTTCATGTTTTTGTTGAAGAACGGAACTACACAACAGCTAAAACCAAATCTTGGCTTTCAGATGTGAGCTCACATATACTGTTACACTGAATTTTTAATGTTTAAGGTCTGCATGTGGTTACATTTGGATGCGATCTCTGAAGGTGTAAAGGAAAGAATTCATAGATACATAAAAGTGATAAAGCATAGGTTTTCTACTACTGTGTGTGAACTGTGGGTCAGTGTTGGAGACAAAAGGCTTTTGGAAAAAAAGGAAACAGCAGCTGTTTAAGCCTGTAGCTTCATTGTTAGGGTTACTAGAGGGCCAGAAGTATCTTGAAGACTACAGGAGGGAATAGAGAACGAGTGGGTTGTCTTTGCATTTGCACTGGTCTGTGGAGAAGCCAAACTTTTAATGTGAAGCTATTATTGGGCTCTGTTACAGAAATGCCCCCATTAAATGGTTCTACAGCTGCATCTTGTAGGCAGTTTCTACAAATTCCAGTGTGAACACTTCTAGAAATCTGGGGATTTTTTTATTTGTCCTGT